TAGTTCTTTCACAAGCTTTATTCCGCCATCTTTAAATAGAGCAGGGGGAAGGCCATGGGATCCCGGCGCTTTGTGACGTCCCAAGGCTTGGATCTCCTTACAGATTTCCGCCTCGGGACGTGTGCCGGAATAGCTGTGTGAGAAGCTGGCGCGGGTGGCTAGCTAAATTGTGCTTTGAAGTGCTCCGCCCAGCGTTCAAGGCGTCGCTGTTGATTATGAATGGGCAAACCGTCAGCTTCGCAGATCGTTTCGCTCACACCTAAGGCTTTCCTACCGGTGACCCGGATGAGATGGAACAGCTTACGGGAATTACCCATGGCGGCAGCACGTTCCATCTCTGATGCGCGTTGAGACCACCAGATCTCGCGGTCTCTGCGTAGGCTTGCGTTTAGTTCACGTCTCGTTATGAGTCGCGTTTCATTATGCTCGCTGCCGGTCGGAATTGACCGACGTGCGTCAAGAAGACGTAGAGACTCTGCAGAGATCCAGGGTGTCACGGCGCGACGTGTCAGACCACAACTAACTAAGCCAGCAGAATGCATAGCACTCTTGATAAGCGACCAGGCGCTGATGATGTTGGACATGTACTGTAACGACCGAAACGCGATTGTCCTGGTCCGAGCGAAACAAGCAGGCCTCGTCTGTATCCGTTCAATCAAATGAATCTTCGATCGTTCTAGATAGCGATAATCAAACCTTAGAGTAACGCGTAGGCCAAATTATCGAGAACTAAGTCGATCCAAAAATAATCTACAAACATTCACCATCTAAATTGATTGAGCCACTCGCATAAGGTGAAGACCGACAGGGACACAAAAAATCGAATGGGCTAATCCAAACATTCCCTATCCAGATTTAGAACTTTTTCATTTTAGAAAGATTTTCGTACCGCGCTTTGTTTGGCACAGTTTGGGTTCAGATGTGCGGGAAAATACATAAAATAAATAATAATTCTGAGAAGTAATTTGGACAGAACAAGAAACTATCTAATTCAATGATGTGAATGCGGATAGAAATATGAAAAAATAACCCGTAATGTAGAAAAGCGGAGAGGGACAAATGAGTACTAGGATGAAGACCGTTATTTGGACACAAAAATAGATTAGTTCGAAACAAAGTGGGGCGCGTGTATAATGCACACACAAAGGTCCTGAGTCTTACGGTTTTAGCAGTGGTGAAGAAGGATAATCATGCACTTCCCTAATGTGTAGTTGGGACATAGTGAAGACCAACTAAGCCTAAGTCTACGATTCAAATTACCTTTGAAGGTCCGATTGCAACCTAGTGAAAGGACGACTCAACTTCCTAATCCTGTGAAGATCTCTTGAATACATACATTCATAAGGTAAACAGTGACTGGAGTACAACCCAGAACCAAAGAAATCGTCCGTTAGGTTGAGAGTTTCCAACCAGAGGTATGAGGCTTAGAGGGGAAAAGCAAAATAGGGCTGTAGCGGGAAGATTAGAATCTTCGATGTTAATCACTATGGCGCGCCAGTTAGAACACCTCAGAATGAAACACTGCCGCCCGTGAACGGGAATATACCATGTGGTACAAAAATGAATTTATCGTCAATTAGTAACAAGCATGGTCTGGAGCAGCGGATGTCTAAATTTATTTTCCAGCCCCGAAAGAAGAAAGGCGTGTTTACCCGACTGAACTACAAAACATAAGGACAAATATCACAAATCAACCGAAAAACCATCCGACTGTGGTCCAACAACCACGCAGAAATCGTACGTTCGTCAAAACCATCGTTGATCCCTACCTGATGAGACGAGATTTAGTCCATTATTTGTGACCTAATGAGGGTCGCTCGTTAAAACATTCCTCGTCTGAACTTCTAACATGTGCTCGCCAAGAAGTATCTCAGACATTCGGGGTTACA